TGAAAAATCTCAGGATGAAAGCTTCACGACATTGGATTCAGTAATAATTTCTTAAATATGACACCAAAAGCACAAGCAAAAACATTTAAAATACACAAATTAGACTACATCAAAGTTTAAAACTTTTGTGCATCAAAAGATACAATCAACAGAGTAATCAGGCACCCTTTGGCATGGGAGAAAATATCTGCAAATCATTTATCTGCTAAGGGGTGAATCCAGACTACATAAAGAATGGCTACAACTCAACAACACGAAAATAAAAATAGGCAAAATACTTGAACAGACATTTCTACAAAAAAGATACAAATGGCCAAAAGTACCTGAAAAGATGACCTGACCAACATCCTTAATCACTGTGGAAATGCAAATCAAAACCTCAATGAGGTAAGTGCTTCATAACACCTATTAGGATAGCTACGATCACATAACAGAACACAACAGCGAACAACAAAACGAGTGGCAGTGAGGATGTGCAGAGACTGAAACTCTTGCGCACTGTTAGTGGGAATGTCTTATACAATGGTGCAGCGATTCCTCAAAAAATTAAAAATCGAATTACCATGTGATGCAGCAATCCACTTCCAGGTGTACACCCCAAAAGTTGAGAGCTGAGTCCCAAAGACATGTTCATATACCATGTTCACAGTGGCATTATTTGTAATAGCCAAGAGGCAGGAGCACCCCAAGTGTCCACCAGTGGTGAATAGAGAAACAAAGTGTGGCCTGCACACAATAGGACAGTGCCCAGCTTTAAGAGGTTGGGAAACTGACGCACACTACTGTGGAGGAAGCTTGAGCACACTCTGCTACTAAGTGAAACGAGCCAGTCATGAGAAGACAAAATCTTGTATGAATCATTCTCCAGGTCCCCGTAGTCGTCAGATTCACACAGACAGAGTAGAGTGGTGGGCGAGGGGCCGGGGAGAGTGCTGGGGAGTGAGTGTTGCCTGGCAGCAGTTTCCTTTTTGCAACATGAAACGAGTGCTGGAGACGGACGGTGGCGACGTTCACAAAGTGTGGACTTAATGCCACTGAACTGTATGCTTAAAGATGGTGAACATGGTAAATGCTATGTTACGTATATTCTACCACAGTTAATAATGAAAATAAATGGTGGTAGCTCACACGCACCCAGGGCAGGGCCTGAAGAGCCCTGTTTGACTTTGCAAACCCGCAGTCCAATTCCTGCGCTGAGCAGTCATACAGCCACAGGCCTTGCACACGGACACGGAGCTTGGTCACACAACCTGGGCGGCTCTCCCAGACCCACGTTCAAAAGGATGGTTTTTGTTTGGTTTTCTCTGCTTTTTTCTTCTTTTCATTTTTACTTTCTTTTTAAATCTTTTTTCTTCATAACCCCACCCACGGAGGGCTGAGATGCAAAGCTCCACGTACTTTGCCTACGGCGCATCTGCTTGCCAGCTTCCTACAGGGCTGGTCTCGCGAGGGTTTATTTATTCATTTTTATTACACCTTGCTGACTCTCACCACCACCCACCATGGCCACCTAACAGGAGACCATTTCAGATCATTCCATGTGTGATTCTTATTATATGTCCTTGCAAAATACGCGTGCATTTGTTCTTCTATGCCTGTGTTGTTACTGATATAAACAGAATGGTTTAATGTCTCTAGTATTTCTCAGACTTTCACTCAGCTTTTAACATCCACCAAGCTTCCCTGTGCATATCTAGGCCATGGCTCCCATGCACACTCCCCCATGTCTCATGCTTTCACTCTTCCAGGAGTGAACACGAGAGGTCCTCTCCCATCCCCACATCACAGAACATGACAGGGAACGCATGTGCATCTGTACGATCCGGTGGGAATTTCATCCCCAGAGAGATGCTGGTCAGACACTGGGCCACATATGTCACTGACTCCTTGGCGTGGTCTCTGGGAAGCCCCTCCTGCTTCCCCTTCCTGGCAGCGTACCAGGTCTCCGTGTCTGCACACGCCTACAACACCTGGCACAAATCCAGTGTTCTAATTTTTGCCAGTCTAATTAGTACAGTGTGGTATGAGTGTTGCATTTTGCATTTCTCTGACTAGAAATTAGTTTTAACGTCTCTTCATCAGTCTTTTGTATTTCCTCTTCTGTAAACTGCCACTCAAAGCCTTTGCCCATTTTCTATAAAAGTTAGAGTATTAGTTTACAGTTATGTAGTGTTAGTTCCCTATTGCTGATGTTACAAATTACTATAAACTTAGTGGCCTGTCACATCACAAATTTATTATCTTATAGTTCTGGAAGTCAGAAGTCTGAGGTCTCACTGGATCAAGGTGGACACCTAAGATCAAGGTGTCCACAGGACTGTGTTCTTTCCGGAGGCTTTGGGAGAAGTTCTTTCTCCTGATCCAGAGGCTGCCATGTTCCTGTCCCATGGCCCGTCCTCTACCTTCAAAGCCAGCACTTACCTTTTTCTTTAAGCTTTATTTTATTTATAATTGACACACAGTAACTGTACCCACTTCTGGGACACAGTGTGATGTTTTGAGACATACATACCTTGTATAACGATCGAATCAGGATAATTGGCTCATCTATTACTTTACACATTTGTGATTTGTGATAACATCCAAAATCCTTTCTCAGCGATCTTAAAATACACAATTACATTGCTATTAGCTATACATATGTTATTAGCTACTGTTAACAGAATGCCAAAACTCATTTTTCCTGACAGTAACTTTGTATGCATTGGCTGCCTGTCCCCTGACCCCCTCACAGCCTCTGGTGACCACTGTGCTGCTACTCTCCACTTATGTGAGGTCAACTGTTTAGAGTGTTAAGTTTTGGCCACAGAGCTCTTACACATCCTGATTTGGGTTAACTTCTGGATACTGCACATGCTTTGATGCCATTATGAATAGTATGGTATTTTAAAAATTATATTTTGTTATTGCTGGTACAGAAAAAGGCTATTCATTTTTGTATGCTGATCTTGTATCCTGAAAACCCACTAAATTATTTTATTTGTTCTAATAGGTTGTGATTCTCTTGGCTTTTCTAGAAAAATCATTGTATCCTCTGTTTTATTTCTTCTCCTCAAATCCTCACTCTCTTATTTCCTTCTACATCGGGAATGACATCCAGTGTCACGTAAAACATCAGCGGCGAGAACAGTCATCCTTGCTTCCTTCCTAATCTCGAAGTGAAGGCATCTTTTGTTCTGTTAACTATGTCTGCGGTGTGGTTTTGTACGTGACCTTTACTGAGTTCAGGGAGTTCTCTTTTGTCCCTGGTTTCGTAGGCGTTCTCGCCATCACAGGTGCTAAATCCCAGCAAGTGTTCTGCATTTAGTGAGTTATCAAGTTATTTTTTCCTAGTAATAAGTTAAAGTAGCGATTTGCACTAATATAGGTTCTCATGTCGAACCAGCCTTAAAATCGTCTGATAAATCCTGTTAGATCACTGTGTTTTATAAGATCTGTTTTAAATGTTCCTCTGAAATTGGTAAACTCGATTTTTAAGTACAGTTATTAATAAAGTACCTGTTCTTTTCTTTCTAAAATTATACTTACATGATATTAAGAGTCTATAAAGTGCTAAGGAACTTTTGTTCTCTCTTTTTGGGAACAATCTGTATATGTTAAAAATCAAGTGTTCCTTAAATTCGGGTGTAATTTACCCATAAAACTGTGTGTGTGAGAGCCGTTTTTGAACGAGAGGTCTCTGGTTATCACTTAAATGCCTTTAATATCTATTGATTTTTCTCAAGTTCTGTTTCTTCTTGAGTCCACTTGGCACTTTGCATTTCCCTAGGAAGCTGTTGGTTTTGCGGTTCTCCAGCGTGTGAGCGTGCAGCACTTCACAGCACTGACCTTCCTCTCAGCTGCTGCTTCCCACTTTCTGTCCCGCGGGTCACCACCAGTACTGGCCTCCATTCTCTTCCATCAGTCTGACCAGAAATCTGGCCATCAACTCCAAAACACCCCAGCTTTGCTAATTTTCTCTGCTTTTCCGTGTTCTCTGTTTCACTGATTTCCTTGCTCTTCTTTCCACCCTCTTGGGATGGCTTATCTCGGTATTTCTAACTTCTCATGTTTCTTAGCGTGTCTGTTTATAGTTACAAACTCCCTTCTGAGCACGGCTGGGCTTGCTACACGGGCTTAGACATGGGCTGCGCCCTAATCACCAGCCCTAACAGTGACCATGCATATGATGTTATTTCTAACATTAGTTTTTATAACATATTTTTTATATAAACTATTCCTTTATTATTAATTTCCAGTGTAATTGCCTCATGTTCTCTGTAGGCTATGTTACAGGTAGTTGGACTTCATTGAGGCCTATACACGTTCTAGTTTTATAATGTTCTCTGTACGCTTAAAAGGCAACATGTAGAGTTCAAAATATACCTAATAGCTCGAACTTATTATATCATTTAAGACACTAATATTCCAGCTTACTTTTCACTGGCCTAGTTCCTGGAGTGGTGTATTAAAATCACCAAATAACTTGCTCATTCACCCACCGTCGCCCAAGTTTATAAGGATATCTCAAGCCACAGGCTATGAGGTCTGCAGTGTATCTGTCACAAGGCTACCATGGAAGCACCCCCACTCCTGATGCCCCCGAGCCCAGGTTTTCAGGGCCCACTCTTTCTAAATGCCCCAGGACTACGCTCAGCCCCACACAGCCTGCCTGTCCTTCACTCGTGGGGCATGGGCTTCCCTTCTGCCCTGGGTTCTCCAGGGCTGACTCCAAGGAGCAGCTGGAAGCCCGTGTGAGGGGCCTACCCTGACAGGGACTGGATCCGGGTATTTCACCACAACCAGCTCACAGCTACCAAAACCAGGACCCCCCTCCCCCCCGTGTTTCCCAAAGTCGCACATAGGAGAGCCTCCAGGACACCCCATGGATGGGTGTGGTGGGTACAGCACAGCACTGTGCCACTTCAAACACATTTTACCTTTCCAGGCCGAGTCTGACTTCGTTAGATGCACTCGTGGTAAGTAAACAAGCTAATAAAGCATGGTTCGCAGCAACTCACCTTCTCCCATAGGCAGGCTGTATGGTTCAGAGCAGATCCACAGACAGCAAAGGCTCAGCTTATGTAACTCAGAGCATCATAAGCACGACTGGGGATGTACAGGACGGGCGTTTGTCACAGAACCACCGACCTGGAACACAAACACACAGTTGCGTGAGCTCACGTGTGGATGCTCTTGTCCACTAGAACCGGGCTTCAACAGAACCCCCTCTTGCATCCAACAGAGCAGCAAAGATTTCTTCGGCATGGAGTGTGGGGAGGGCCTGCAGCAAGCAGGGCACACTGGGCACACTGCCCTGAACACCCCAAACGAGGCAACGCCACACCCAGGTAGGCTTCTGCTTCACAGATAAGAAACCCAAATAAAACGCTTTGGTAAAATTGTGTGAGTGTTCCACTTACAGTATTTAGTATATTTTGTGTATATATACTGATTTTGAAATAATATTTATTAAATTGTGTGTTAATTTAAATACATCGCTGGTTTTCTAATTTTAGTTAGTAAAATAATTTCGCTCAATCTCTTCAATTTCAGCTCACAACCCTGTCCCGCTGAAGCCACCATATGGCCACCTAGTGCTTCTCCGGAGCCCATCATCTTCACGTGGGTCTATGTCTTTGACTTTTCGCTTTGTAAATTCATGTTTAGTGCCAACAGCCCAGTGACAAGAACCCATTTCCTTAACATTATGCTCTTTGCTGTGTTTTTAAAATCTACTCTGTGGGTGCATACTGATGACCTCCACAAATCACTGCTGTGGACGTCTTCAAACACTTGTTCACAACAGCAACCGACACTTGGAACCGAGATCACAGCACTACACGTAAGTGGAAATGGAGTTAAATGTTTCTGCCTTTCTACGAGCCAATGAGGTAACCAACTTAGGCAAAAATCAGCAGTACCGACTGAGGTTGTTTCAAGCTAATACACCTTTATCCATGCAACACTCTGAGGTTCAAAATGAAAGGAATGAGAAAATACTGAACATAAACAAGTTCCACAAGGGAACGTGTGCAAAGTCCCCTCATTCTCCTGGCACGCAGCTGGACAACAGTCGCGCAGCACATTACTGACTGGAGGACCAGAGAGACGCCCGCCGCTGAGTTAGGCATGTGGACATACACTAGAAACAAGAGAGGTATAGACAGCTGTGTGCTGCAGAACAACATGCTGGTCAGTGACAGGCTGCGTATATGATGGGGGCCTCGTAAGATTATAATGCCGTGTTTTTACTGTACCTTCTCATGTTTAGATACAAACATGTGTTGTGCCACAAATGCCCACGGTGCTCAGCACAGCTGCATGTGCACAGGCCGCAGCCTCTGCTGCACGCAGAGCATAGGTGTGTGGTAGACTATACCATCTAGGTGTGTATGAACACTGTGTCTATGATGCTTGCACCACGGAATGCTTCATTGAATTAAACTGATAAATACTACACCTTTCACAGGGAAATAATCATGCAATATTGGCAGAAAACCAATTCTGGAGCCTATGCCAGAGCAGAGACAGGAAAAAGCATGTGCAGAGGAGAGAATATTGTGGGGGTCCCAGCAGAGGCATAACACTGACAATACTACTCACAAGAAGAGAAGATTCCATCCAAAAAGGCAGATCTGACTCTGTGGGTCAGCGCACTGATGGCTGATGGATCAAAGGAAGGACTCAACAATGCGGGAGACCACAGGTGATCCCAGGGACAGTGATTTGGGCAGAAGAGAGAGAGCAGGAGACCAGAGGCGACATTGGGATAGTGATACTGCAGAGGAGAGAGAGTGGGAGACCAGAGGTGACCCCAGGACAGTGATACTGCAGAGGAGAGAGAGCGGGAGACCAGAGGTGACCCCGGGACAGTGATACTGCAGAGGAGAGAATGAAGGAGACCAGAGGTGACCCCGGGACAGTGATACTGCAGAGGAGAGAGTGCAGGAGACCAGAAGTGACCCCGGGACAATGATACTGTAGAGGAGAGAGTGCAGGAGACCAGAGGTGACCCTGGACAGTGATAGTGCAGAGGGGAGAGTGCAGGAGACCAGAGGTGACCATGGGACAGTGATTCTGGTATAAGAAAGAGTTCAGGAGACCAGAGGTAACTTTGGGACAGTGATGCTGCAGAGGAGAGAGAGCGGGAGACCAGAGGTGACCACGGACAGTGATACTGCAGAGGGGAGAGTGGGGGAGACCAGAGGTGACCCCGGGACAGTGATACTGCAGAGGAGAGAGTGCAGGAGACCAGAGGTGACCATGGGACAGTGATTCTGGTATAAGAAAGAGTTCAGGAGACCAGAGGTAACTTTGGGACAGTGATGCTGTGGAGGAGAGAGAGCGGGAGACCAGAGGTGACCCTAGACAGTGATACTGCAGAGGGGAGAGTGTAGGAGACCAGAGGTGACCATGGGACAGTGATTCTGGCATAAGAAAGAGTTCAGGAGACCAGAGGTAACTTTGGGACAGTGATGCTGTGGAGGAGAGAGGGCAGGAGACCAGAGGTGACCACGGGATAGTGATTCAGGCAGAGGAGAGAGAGCGGGAGACCAGAGGTGGTGATTTCGGGGCAGTGATGCCATCAGAAGAGAGAGAGAATCTGGGAAGAAGGCATACCTGGGAATGTTGGCAGACAAGGAAAGGAGGTACAGAAAGAATGAAGATTAAGTTTCCTACAGAAGAAATAAAGAGAATTGAGGTATCAGAAGAGACCTTGATTTTTACCCCATCTCCAAAACTCTCATTCATTTTTTTTTTAAATTATACTTTGCTGACCTAAAGAAAGGATGCTCATTGACAAAGCCACCCATTTCCCTCGACACAGCCCTTCCCAGTTAGAAACATCTGCTATTGCTAGTTCAGGAAAAATCTTAGAGTTTTAAAAATAAACAGAAAAAAAGGCATGCAAAATCCCTCTGGGTAAATGACCTTCTCAAAATGATCTCAAAGTAGCAGACCATCTCTAAGTCCATTTTGGTTCTGTGAGAAGGAAAGAGTAAGTGAAAACTAAAACCTCTTTAGCTGATACAATTGGTCGCCAACCACAAAGCACAGGAGAACGCCAACACAGCAGCCAGCACCAATGAAAACTCTTAAAATGCAGATGTGAGAAAAACTAGAAATGAAAAACCAAAAATGTCACAAATACAAATGGACAATTAGAACAGGAGGCTGTGAAATAAGAATTAGCTTAACATACGAAAGAAATGAAAAAGACAAAGAAATAGAGAAATTTTCAGCCTAGAAATAAAGATTGTTACAAGCTGCCAAAGAGAATAAATTCAAGTGGATGCATAAGGGACTGAAAAACATCAAGAGAAAATGAAACAAATCAAGAGGCTACAAGCGATCAAAGAGAAACCACTGGATATCGAACGCAGGCTGAAAGGATCCAGGAGCTTCCAAAAAAGAGAGGCAAAACCATAAAACAGAACTAATACGCAAATCCCAGAAATGCTTTTAGGAAAAAGAAATCTATGAATTGAAGAGGCTCACCATATGCCAGAACAAACTAACCCGAACGGTCACCACTAAGGCACATCCTGATAATTCATTAAGACTTAAAGGGAACAGCTGAGGACTCCAGGCAAAAACCCCAGCTCACTCAAGAAAGGAAAGAAATCAGATTGGTATCAGATTTTTTGATGGCAAAGTACAAAATAAGTGAAGAGAGGAGTATTATTTTCATAAACTGATGTAAAAATAAAGTATGACCAAAGGATTTTATGTCAGCCAAACTGTCCTTCGGAATTAAAGCTACAGAAAAATAGTTTTAAATATCCAAGAACTCAATGAATACAATGCTTAAAAGCCCTTCGTGAGATCCTACCCCAGGACAATCTCCTTCAAACGGAGAGATAACTAGGAAATATGGCATACACAAAAATAACGAGTCTTTGTTGATCAAAGACTAAAACACCAAGTGAGAACATGGATTCAGGGGAAGTATGAAAGTGCGTTTTTCTGGGGTGGGGATGCTGTTCTGAAAAGTACGAATTCAGTACTGGGTCAGAGGTAGATGAGTGAGAGGAAGGGGCACAGGCGGCACAGCTGCTGGCGGCACAGGCAGGAGCCAGGAGAGCCTCTCGCAGCTGGCAAAGCTGGCGCAGACGGTCTGCGCCACGTGGCAGATGCCGTCATGAAGCCACCGCAGAGCAACAGCACAAACCTTCCTGGCTGCCAAAAGAATCTGACCCGGGAAATGTCGGGTGCTGGGAGGTGGCCACTTGCCGCCTCCCTGTGGCTCCGCATCCCCACGTGCGGCCACAGGCTATCTGTGCCTGCGCTCCAGCTGCACTGGCTGTGCCATCCTGATTGGGTACTTATTGAATCCCACTGTTGCTCATTGGACATTAAAGCTTGTTGCTCACTGGACAGTTTTTGGAGTCCTACCACGGGTATAAAAACAGGAGGAGAACAAGGAAGAGGAGGTCAGAAGATCAGAAGACGGGAAGAGAGCTGTAACACTTGCTGGGTTGAGCCTGCTGGAAGAATAAAGACTATCCTCCAACTCTTCGTGTGCCGCTTGGTTCTTTCCCCGGTCAAGAACTGTAACACTAGCTGTACACTTGCCGTGACAAATTAAAGAGAGAAAAAAGCAAAGATGACAGACAACATTAACAAAATAAAAAGATACACGATACACACATTAAATACAGGAATGAGTTATATGACAGTTGGGATTGAACATATCGGTTATATAAATAAATGTAAGTTGGTTTAGCCCACCTATTAGAAGTTTCCCACTGGCTCACAAAGCTGACTCTGCTTCATACAAGAAACACAGCATTGCCAAGTGACTAGAACAGGCTAACTATCCAGGAACGGGCAGAAGAGCCTTGGGCAGGTGCGCAAGATCAAAAAGCACAACCTCACCCCCAAAGCACTCAGCAAGACCAGCAGAGCAGGAAGGACAGACATGAACCCCAAAACACAGAAGCTGGCTTAATAAAGCAGAAACTACAGGTGTTAGAAAAAGAAATAGAAACATGGTAACAATAGCAAAGGTTGACACAGCACAGCCAGCCCAAAGCAGGCTGAGGGTAGACAAACAAGCAGACGTGAAGGAGAGCTGGTAACAGGCAGACACCGGGGACACACGCTAGGCTCTACGCTCCAGCAACAGACAACAGGGTTCTTTTTCG